AAGATATGTCAATGAAATACCATGTATCCAATCTTTGTAAAAATCTATATCTCCAGCTGAAGAAAATAGGGAGCATTAGAAAATATATATCTGTTGGTGTCACCAAAACTTTAATAACATCACTTATATTGTCAAGGATTGATTATTGCAATTCCTTACTGGCTGGTGTACCTGATGAACAGTTACAACAACTACAAAGAGTACAAAATATTGCTGCCAAAATAATTACTAAAAAACTAAAGCATGATCATGTGACTCCTATTTTAAAAGCATTACACTGGCTCCCAATGAAAGAGCGTATCCTATATAAAATCTGTTTAACTTGCTACAAGTGCTTAAATGATTTATCACCGGACTATCTAAAACAGCTTTTAACACCCTATGTGCCTCCTAGAACGCTCAGATCATCTAGTGACAAAACAACCCTTGTTAAGCCTAAAATAAATTACAAATCATATGGCCAACACTCTTTTCATATTTTGCCCCACTTGTTTGGAATAGGCTTCCAAAAACTATCAGAGAAGCAGAAAATCTAGAAATTTTTAAGAAGAAACTAAAATCATTTCTATTTTCATCATATTTCGATAAGACAGAATGCATCCAAGCTGTAGATCGTTGTGAGTTTGTATGTGCGTATGTGCATATGTATGTATGTGTGTATGTGAGTATGTATAGGTATGTGGTGCGTGCGTGAGTGAATATGTGTTTGCATGAGTATGTAACACTATGTACCTTTAAAATGTATTTTTGTAAATCCATTATATGAATCATGTTAAGCGCATAGAGCATTGCATAAGTGGATATGCGCTATATAAATGCAATCCATTATTATTATTTTATTGTAACATATGCACATACGTACATACAAACTCACAACGATCTACACCTTGGATGGATTCTGTCCAATCGAAATATGATGAAAATAGAAATGCTTTTAGTTTCTTCTTAAACATTTCTAGATTTTCTGCTTCTCTGATAGTTTTTGGAAGCCTATTCCAAACAAGGGGGGCAAAATATGAAAAAGAGCGTTGGCCATATGATTTGTAATTTAGTTTAGGCTTAACAAGGGTTGTTTTGTCACTTGATGATCTGAGCGTTCTAGGAGGCACATAGGGTGTTAGAAACTGTTTTAGATAGTCCGGTGATAAATCATTTAAGCGTTGGTTCGATCCCGGTCCTGGACGTTTTTTTTCTTGTTTTTTGTTTTTGTTGTTGTTGTTGTCCTCTTCTCGACTGACCAACAAATTGTTCCCATAATTATATCTTGTTGCTTTGTAGTTGTTGTTTTTTTAATGTAGTGATGAAGCATGCACATTCTGGTTTTGTCCCCAAGAGGAGCTCTGTACAAAGTAGGCCTTAGTATATAGCCTATACGTTTCCTTTTACCAATTTAGGCCTGGTTAAAGTTCAGTAGTGGCTTTCCTTGGTCTGTGAGTCTAGTTTTTTTTAATTTTAGGCTCGGGAGAAGGGGGAAAAAAACCCTTTCGGGACCGGGATTCGATGCCACGCTTGGAAGCACTGAACTTTAGACTTAGAGAACGTAGACAGTAGACAGCTTGTATACGTTCTCTAGGCCTAACTTAAAGTTCGAGTTGCACCGTCTTGTTATTGTTATCCAAGCGTCTTTCGACTTAAACAAACTCAAACTGTAACTACGATGATTATCATTATGAGAGAAGAACAAGACGTCTATTTTTGTGCTAACAATGTCAGAAACAATTGTTAGATCTAATCTAGATCTAGATTTTTCTAGATCTAGAATCTAGATCTACCCAATATTAATCGGAATAAGACAACGTCATAAAAAAGGGAGTCAAATCCTAGGAGGTTTATCAAAAAACTGAAAAAGCTTCCACAATTCAGGCAGAACTACACTATTATCATGTAGAAACGATGGCTACTACATCTAGATCTAGTACTGGCGTTTCAAATAGCACGGGAACTATTCAGAACGCGGCGTTGCAAATAGCGCTTACCGGCTAAAAATGTGTCTTGGGTCTGACGTCGGTGGACGCGGTTCTTTGTGAGTCGATTCTAGATCTACACCCTGCAAAAACTTCGTACATTGTCTTGGCCTGGAGGTGATCTTATTTTGGTGGACACGTATCCTTAGCCAAGACGGATTACGACAAGACGGGACGGCAGCCTCATTTTCGATCCAACCAGAGAGGGTTTACAGTAATAGTATTACTGTAAACTCTCTGGTCCAACTGGCTCCCCTTGGTAACCAGCTTGCTGCGCGTTTAAAGCGTAAACAAACGACAGGAAGAAAGAGCGCTCTGTTCAACTCGCTGAAATAGCTACCTACTTTGAATTTCATAAAGACAGTTTTGTCTTGGGGTTTTTTCCCCCATAAAAACCGTTTGGTATTTATTTTTACTGGTTTTTGTTTACATTTTGAATACAGTGAGTTGAGAAATAAGATTTTTATGAACGGAAAGCGGTAGTGAGTTGAACATGTTCAGTGATCGATGATGTAGATTTCTAGATCTAGGAGTTTACGAAACGGTAGACGTAGATTAGATCTTACAGTACTACAGTTTAAAAGCGACAGAACAGCCAGTTGTGCTCTGCAATGAACTGTTCTCTAATAGAATATACTATACATTGGATATTTTAAAAACTAAAGATACGGTCCGAGGTGCGTCTGGGTGAAGACAGGATCTTCTGAGCAAGTCACCAGACTGTCTTGGGCACTTTACGGACTCTCAGTTTCTTGGTGCTAAGGCAAACCAACTGACGCGTGCAATACAGCGATACCTGCGTTATTCAAAGTTCCCAATCCCCGTACTCTAAAAAGAAACAAACCACCCAAACGACTTACTATGCTAACGTCGAAAGACTCATGCTCTTTTACAACATGGAAATTCCTAATCTCAAAAATCATTTTCACAAGTAAATTGTGTGGGTTTTTTAAAATCTTGTCAATTTATCTATCCAAGAATAAGCTATTTTGTTAAAGGTATTTGTATATAATGAATAATAGTATTAATAGAAGCGAAACTTCATCACATCGAGTTTGTTAACAAAGTATATAGACCCTAAATAATATATAGATCTAGGCGCGTCTACTTTTACTACATCATCATCATCTGGTGCCTTGCCGACTGGCGTGGGCTATCATGGACCTCCACTTTACTCTGTCTTGCGTTGCAGCATTTATTGAAATGTTATGATCCACAACGTTCTAGGGAAAGAATACAGCAGTGGTTTCCCCTTGCCTTCTGTTGGAATTTTGTACGGTTTACTCCGCTAGCCTTTGTCCAAAAGGACTAACCCACAAGGCAGTGGGGGACTTATACTACAGCCTACGTTTTAAAACAAAATTGAATTTCATTTGGAAATCAAAATAAAACAAAGTGATACAAATCATATAGAATGTCCTATGTCACTAGAAAGGCTAACTGGGGTAAGCTGTCAAACACATGGTTCTGGAATGCTTAGGATATAATTATTTGTAGTATCACATCAAAGAATGAACAACAATAAAAAAAAAAAAAGAACAATAATACTAGATTCTATGACTCTCAGTATGAGAACCCTTCAATATAGTAGGCCTAATATTAATAAGAGAAAAGCATAAAACTGAGAGGAGAAAAACACAACAAATTCTTTTCATAGTGGTTACTATAATCTATACTTTGTTGTCTATACTGTGCAAGTGAATGTGATGCATGTGTGTCTGTTGTTCATGTTATAGTTATATAAATGCCACTCATAATAATGTGTGTGATGCATGTGTGTCTGTTGTTCATGTTATAGTTATATAAATGCCACTCATAATAATGTGTTGATTAAATCACACACTATTATTCAGAAATAATATAATTCTACGACTTGAAAAATTCTGTTTCTGCAGCTGTTGTAGCTCATGTTCTGATCCACAATTAAGTTGCTGCTAGGACGGCATTCCTCTGCCAAGTACATCTGTTTCTGCCACATCCCTTTGCATAGCAGATTTGACAGTTTCTTCAATGCTTTACTACAATTTATACAAGCAAAGTCATCTGCAATTTACAAGCTTTGTATCAAACCAGCTTCACCCCACATTCCTCTCTTGAAATATAACATTGGTTGGTTGAAACAAGTTGAATATGGCAAAAAACCACACAAAAAAACGAAAAGAAAAATGAAAAAAAACAACCCCTACCAAGCATTAATAAAGGCTGGATACAAACTATTCAAGCCCTTTTGATTCTGGTCAAGGAAACTGTAAGGGTGGTGGTAAGTATTTATTCAGCAACAAGCTAAATCAGGACTGTGTTGAAAACCTTTTTGCAGCTATCAAAGGAAAAAGCAGTCACAGAGATAATCCTTCCCCTACCCCTAAGATATATGCACATGCTTTTCGCTTAATGATGGCAAATAAAGTCCTCTGACCAGTCCTGGTATGAATTTAAATGTAAAGATGACATTGATCACTTCCTTTCAGTTTTGCTTCCTGGTAACAAATCTATAAGCCTATAATCAAACATTGCACCACCTATGTGCTCAGAATATAAAGTCCCAAAAAGAGGAGCAGCCACCAATGACTAACCTCATCAAGTCACTGAAAGTAGAGTACCTGGTGCAGTTTTAAAAATGTTTTCCCACCCCCCGGGGGTTTTTTTTTGGGAAAATTTCCCCCTTTTTTTTGGCCAATTTCCGGCTTTGAGAAAAAGGAAAATCTTTTTAGGGTTTGGAAAAGGCCCCCCCCCCCCCCCCCCCCCCCCCCCACTCTGAATACTATTAAGCAATCTCTTCATTTCAAAAAGGGCGGTTAACCTGTACCCCACGTCGTATTTAGCTCGAATACCCGCCCACGATACATGAAATTATATGATATTCTTAGTGTTCAAAGATTCCCTCTGATTTAGATATCATTGCCTAACTTGACAGCCTAGATGGAAAACATCTCATTATTGCCGACATGACGCTTCAAGACGACTATTGAGTTTTAAAAAAACAACTGAATAATAAAAATGGTCCGTGCATCCATGTAATTATAAGTCTTTACATCCCCATCGACACATTCGATCATTCAATAAGATGCGGGCTGCTGCGATGCTGGGTCTTTAAGTGCACAGAGAGCTATACAAAATTTCAGCAAGTAGATGGAGATGCATGTACTCAGTTTATTTTTTAAAAATAAAAAATGAAATGAAATACAAATTTTCAACACGAGAATCAAACTCATATCTGTGGGTGGTTGAAGGAAGCTCTGTCGTGGATTGCTCGTTCTTTTTTAATCAAACATCTATCGTCTGTATGATCTCTCCTTCTCTTTTTTGCTTTTGTTACTCTCTTGTAACACTTCAAATCTGCGACACTAATATGATCGTATTGCGTTGCAAGTGCAGTGAAAGTCTTACTAAACCTAAGTACTCGTGCGATAGTGAGGAGCCTAACACGACAAGCGCCACTGTCCCTGCATTTGACAGGCTTACAGTAAAACAAGCGCCGTTCAATATTTGACATTAACTGGCATGGTTCCTCGCCCTCAATATGTGTACCGCTAGGTTTTTAAACAGCGTAGCAGACAATCTACCCCTTCCTTTCAGAGTGAAATAAAAAAGACCCGAGACGTGTCCCAGGCACTGACAAACGGATTCGACGGCTGCGGGGACGGATCTACCGAGCTCAGTGTATTGAAGGCCTACTGACATCTATGGGGAGAAAACGACTGTAAACCTGTGAGTGTCTAGCTAGTTTCATTTTTAGTGTTTCACTTCTAACTTGTTTGGATATCAGATAGTTCACAGTGACGATCGAATACTGTACCGACTTGGTGACGGTGATGAAGTTGAGACAGACAGACAGACAGACAGACAGACAGACAGACAGACAGACAGACAGACAGACAGACAGACAGACAGAGAGGGAGTGGGGGCAGAAACGAAAGCCAGACTGCTTTGTAAAGCAGTTATGTCAAGGGTTATTATCATAGGGAGAAATGCGCTTTTCTGCAACTATCCCATGTGCCAAACGTTTCTATCTGCTTTAAGACAGAGTGTTGGAAATTATTGCTTTTTTATTGTTACGTATAGATCTGGTGACTATCTTTTCGAATTCGACCATTATTTCCAAGCGTTTTATATGTTTATCTATCCGTGTGTTTACTTATTCATTCGTCTGTTCACTTATTTGCACCACATTTAGAATATGAAACACAAAGGAATTACAGAAGATCAAGAAATTACACAAGTACCTTAGTAAAACAAAATACAAATTTTGAAAGTACGTTTCTTAAATGACGATGTTGATGATGATTGTGATGATGATGATGATGATGATGATGATGATGATGATTATGATGATGATGATGATGATGATGATGATGGCGACGAACGCTTTGTTGCTATGACTTCCAGCCAGAACTAATTATGCGTGTTACATAATATCCTTTGAAAAGTCCTATAAGGACATATCATGTGAAGTCCTTACGTTTCAGTCAAATTTCATCATAATGTTCTTCTTCTTCTTCTTCTTCTTCTTCTTCTTCTTCTTCTTCTTCTCCTTCTCCTTCTCCTTCTCCTTCTCCTTCTCCTTCTCCTTCACCTTCTCCTTCTCCTTCTCCTTCTTCTTCTTCTTCTTCTTCTTCTTCTTCTTCT